AAATACAACAGCTATTCAGCTTAATTCTTTTCTAATAGCAATATTTCTTATTAAAATTAGCATTTTATAAGCTAAAATTTGCAAATGTCTTAAAATGAGACAGTTTGAATGGCAGTTGGTGTCCCAGAAATATGCAGACTAAATTATTGACAGAATATTGGGAGTCTAGTTTTCCACATGGAAATTGTGAAAGTGCTTTTCTTTTTTCTCTCTTATTTTATATAGATATTTCAATTGCAAGATTTAAATAGCCTATTCTAGAAAGTGCAGCATGCCCTAGAGGAAAAGTCATACAGTACAATAATCTAACCTTTAAAATAAATCCCTTGAGTCAAACTCAGTTCTTGGTGGCCACAGATACTTCACATGCTTGTTTTCTTGGCAACAACATAGATGTGGTTTGCCAAGTTGTTATTTTCTGTTATGGTTTTTTTTTTCAATTCCCAGTCTCAGCTATAGTTAAAAATATATGATACATAAAGCAATATCTATGTATCTCTCACTGTTAAAACAACATTAATGGTTTTGTAATTTCTTATAGCATTGGCAAAAAGTGTAAAGCCAAATAAAAAAAGAAAAAAAGAGAGAGGCCATTCTTGACATATGCTATAACATCTCTTTGGTATTAAAAACTCACATTTCCATAACCTTTAACAGGGTGAAGTGCTGTATCATAAGACATTCTATAAGTGCCCATTTGAGTGTGTCAAATGGACACTTACAGAATGCATCCCAAATCCAAGACTCATGATTCTCATAGAATTTAAATTGGGCATATAAATGAGCTTATGACAAAATACACAATATTATAAAATGCCTGGTTTATTTAGATGTAAATCACTAACAGGATATAAGTAATTTTAATTATTTGTACTTGTTTGTGTGTGTGTGTTTGTGTATTTTATGGGGCATTTTTTGTCATTTTGTAAAAATAACTTCTACCAATAACTAGAGATATGCAGTGCAATGAGATAAAGAAGAATTGAAGAGAAATCAAGTCTGATAATAATATTTGATTGAACTAAAGACTAAACTATTAGCAGTAAAAGGAAAGAATATAAAGTTGGTTTATTTGATCAAAGCTAAAATAAGACATTTTTTTCCTAATGTTCTGGCAATCCATTCTGTAGATCTTGCAGAACCAGGATTGAAAATATGTTTTTGCTAATAGATAGGGGATGGGATATCGGATTTCTTTTTAACCTTTTAGGTAGTGAAGAATTATTAAATTTGTTTATAAGTGTTATGATGAAGGTAGGAAGTCACTTCTTTATATTACTTCTTTTTTCCTGTATTATTTATTATTTGTTTCTGTTCTATTCTTTCCCTACTTTTGTACTAGCTTTTACTATTGTAATTAAATTTCCTAATAAAATACTAAAAATAAAAATTATATTTAAAATGAGTTATAAATAAGTGTTTCATGTACACTTAAACACTTACTTTGCCTTGGTCTGCAAACCATTACAAAACCCAAATTTCTACCATGCTGTATGTATGTATGTATGTATATATGTGTGTGTGTGCGTGTGTGTGTGTGTGTGTGTGTGTGTGTGTGTGTGCGCAAGTTTTGGTGTATTTGGGTCTTTTCCCGTGTAAGATTTAGAGTATCTTGGCGATGTTTCGAAGAGGTCCCACTCGTCATCTTCAGGCTGGTGTCTTTGGCTTCATGCTTGGAGGAAAGCGTGATCGGAGCTGCCGTCTCTCTATAAATACTGGTGGGGAGGTGTGGGGTGCTGGCTTTGTTGCTGTGAGCAGGTTGGTTGCCTGTGTTGTTACATCTTGATGAGTTGATGTTTGCAGATTAGTCAGCTGTTTCATAACATGTATATATATAGGAACACAACATTCTGTTTTCCAGAGACATCCAGTAACATAATTGTGGAACAGAATGATTTTCCTTGATCTTTTTATGGAGTGTGCCAAACTCTAATCCAGCACTTTCTCTATCTGCCAGCATCTACCCATACATTTAATAAGATAAGAAAAAAAATAGTCTCTTTACTTTGAGAACAACAACCATAAAGAATGGGAAAATGTATTTATGACCAAAGTGAAAATAGTAATTTAACAAAAGCTTTTTTTGTGGTCATTGAAATGCACTCTAACATTTCTGTAAATATATCATGCAGTGGTAGCAAGATTACATAGGCATATGGATGCATAAGAACATAAAGAACAAAAATTTTCTGACATCAATTTACTTTTTCTGACTATCTGTTCCTTACAGTTACACGGCAGCTATTCCCTATAGAATATAAAAGCATGAAGCTCTTAAAATGTCACTTTAAATTAATGCCAGTATGTTTCAATTGACTAATTTATTTATATTCTTGATGTAATTTTCAAAAGTGAGCTGACAGTTTAGCTGTGCATTTCTTTTTCCATCAAGGAAATAACTGATGGGACTTTATTCAGCAGCAAGTGGATATCTTTGCTATGCATAGCTTTTTTTAATGATTTGGACTACATATAGGGTAGGAATACTTTTTATTATTTCATACCAGCTCAAGAAAACCGCAAAACTCTTTTCTGTACAGTCTGGGATTCTTTTCATTTCTCTATTTTTTCACTCCATTTCAGTACTACAAATATGCTTTTCATTTTATTTACCTTGTTTTATTGTTATTTTTTTTTTAAAAAAATCTATTAAAATTTTAACAGGAGATATTATAAAACTCTGTTGTGATGAAAAAAAAATGAAATTAGAGGCCCATAAAAAAAATAAAATGTAAAGATAAGACAGAGGAAATCATAATGCATCAGCTGTTATTTATATATTTACTGAGTGTAATTCTTAATGGAGTAATTTATTTATGATTTTAATCCATATAGTCTCCTATTTCAAATACATGACTTTGGGAAATTTACAACAATTCAAAACAAAACAAAAACATACAATATAAAAACATATCCTAATAGGTTGTTTTCATGTAGAGACACATCTTTTTAAAGTAAAAATATAACTACAAATATAGAGTTTTTAGTAGTCTCTAAGCTTGGTTGTTTATTTGTAGATGTTCTGTTACCAGACTAGGTAGCGTCTTCAGTGCTGGAGTTGTAGATGTTATCCATTCTAGTAACAATGGTCTGTAAACAAACAACCGAGCTCAGAGAACACCAAGGACTCCACAGCTCAACCCTGAGCTACATATATTCTCTTCTAAACACAGTAACTCCAAAGGTAGTAGTTTATGCAATTAAAATAGCAAAATATACTTCCAAACTAGATAAAGAATATTTGCTTGGATTTTGCCAGTTTAGTTTTTTCCCCCCTATACGTTCTCCTTGTGATGTTTAATTATAATTGCATGCATAGATAAAACATGAAAATAATGTATGAATAATTTAGGGTGTTATATTACTTTTAAGTTTTATTTTCTGCTTTTGTCTTTTCAGTTTGCTTTTAGACTTTTAAAAGTTGATGGACTAGAAATGCAAATACATAAAAACCAGGGGTGAAATCCATTTTTTCCCCCTACCAGTTCTGTGGGCATGGTTTGATGGGCGTGGCAGAGGAAGGATATTGCAAAATCTCTATTCCCTCCCCACTCTGGGGCCAACCAGAGGTGGTATTTGCCGGTTCTCCAAACTACTCAAAATTTCTGCTACTGGTTCTCCAGAACCTGTTAGAACCTGCTGGATTTCACCCCTGATAAAAACCTAATACTGATAGTGAATTCATCTAATATTAATACTAAGAATGCCATTAAAACAGCCCTGGGCATATGACCTTGAAATAAAGTTGTAGGTAAACAGGATTACAAGTTTGAAATTTTCTTTGCCACATTTTTTAAAAAAGCTAATTGTAATAATATTGTACAGAAGAGTTAACTACATTCAAGCTTGAAAAATCCAGTGTCTGTCTACTCTGATTTTTGATATTCCACCTAAATCCTATTTGTAGAGAAGAAACTGACAGTATGTTGGTCATGCTCGGAATATAGAAAACTATGAAATGTTAATATTGTGTTATGATTTTAATTAACATGAAAATATGTTTATTAAGTTAAGAAGTAGATGATGCCGTTTGTATTCACATGTATATTGTGTTTTAGTTGTGTGATGTTTCTTTGATCTTTGTGAAAATTTTAAAGAAGGCCTATTCAATTGTGAAATTTAAACTCTTGACGACTCTGTTTCAAATTACAATAAAACATAATTAAAGAGAGGGCTACATCTCTCTGCTGATAACTAATTTAACTGTTAAAAATCTCTTTCACGCATATCTGTCATTGGGTAGACATTTTTGATACTGTACAATGAACTGTTGGGTATAATATAATAGCAAGTGTAATGTTTAATGACTCATTAAGCAATAAGCATAAGATAAATTTAATATGAAGATTGACACTCTGTTTCATTTGGCAAAAATAAAGTATTTTCTTCTCAGGGTAATCTGTTACTTTTATATATCGTACTACCTAGCTGTAAAATGGTAGTGTAAGCAAGCTAAACATTCAAAGTATATTCTGCTTGCCCATTTGTAAAAATGTACTATGTAACGGCTATCACTGAAATTGATGATTAATTCTTTGCCCTGTAATGCTGGTACTACATTCTGGAGCACTGCACAGTTCGTCAAAATATTTTTATGGCTGTAAGTGATAGGGAGGCAATAAGCAGAAATCACCTTACTTTCCCCACCCTCCAATTTGTTCAGTTTCATCCTACCAGTGCTTGATGGTGCGGTTTGAACTATAGTCTCTTTATATGTGTATTAGTGCAGATATTATTATGCTAATGCAATCCTATTTTAGGTTTGTTTTTGAGTTGGTGGTAAAAATATTACAGGCTGTTTTCCTTATTTTTAATAAATATAAAAATATTATTAATATATTGCAAATCCTTGTATTCAGTACAACATGTGTCATTACAACCTATGCCAATGATTATTACTAAAAACTAAAATCTTATAGAATTAAAGGAAAATTTTTAGAAACAGAGAACACACTGTGTTTTAATGATGCATTTCTTTAATCTGAAATTACTATTTTCAGGTACAACTGAAAACCAGCTTTTCAAGTCAGTATATAATTCGTACCCAGCCCACAAATGCATGCCTGTCTACACTTGAATGTGCAGCTATTGCCCTAGCCATCGTGGAAAAAAATGATGCAATTAAAGAGGTAGGTAATTTTAAAGCCATGTATACCACTAATGGAATAACCAAATGTAAGCTATGCTTATTTTTTTAAAGAAAAAAATAGGTTGTTTTACTGGCCATGGTTCAAATTTTTCACTTCATCTTTTCTTAAATCTTCCTACATTAAGTTTAGAAAACCTGGCAGGAATAAATGTGATTCTCCTAAGGTTTTTTTCCCTTACCCCACCTATTCTTACATTAACCTTACCACTCCTTTTCATATGCTTCATCCCATTTCTTTGATAGACCTTCTAGAAAACTTCTTTTTCAACATTGGGTACTGTTTGTCCACTATGGCACAAAGTATGTAAAATAAATTCCTTTGGTTTTCACTGTCATTTTGTTAGCTAAATAAGGGGTGGGGGTGGATAATGAAGTAAAGGAAAATTTGGAAATAATTCAAAGAAAGAGTCAATGATGTCTTTATACCAAGCATATGAGATTAATAAGACACTAGATTTGTTGTGTTTGTTGCATAACTGTGTTTGCATTTTTTTTCAGCAAAGTTATCAAAGTTATAATGGCACTGGACCATGACCCAAGTTATGGTAACAAATGGGCTATGACCGGTTTCTGAATAAACAAACATTGCAGCGCGCGCACACACACACACACACACACACCAGTGACATGATCGTGATCTGGGCACTTGGGAATTCAACTCACAACTACATTACAGGGATCTGTGGTCACATGTTTGCCCTTCTGTCCTGGCTTCTCACAAGCTAAGTCAATGGGAAAGCAGGTGGGGAAGCTTGCAGGTCACTCCAGTAAGTCAATTCTTGCTGCAGCACTCTCTGCTCATGGCCTCCATCAGATTTCCGAAGACCTGTCCCAGTCTGTGCTGGCCCTCGTACTGCTTTCCACCACCAGTCCATGGCACTCCCATATCTGGGACCAACATAATTTCCTCTTAAGACTCCACGTGTTTTGGGTATGGTAGCAACTGTGACTGGTAAGATTGCCATCAATAAGTGATACAATCATGTGATGTCACACTTTACAACTGCATTGCTTAGCAATGGAAATTTCCATCCCAGTTGCCAGTATAACTTGAGGAAGCTTGAATTTTCACCTTTTAATCTATATAATGTGGATGTGCAGGTTTGAATAAATATAGAAATATATGTTAAAAGTAATCTATTGTTTCATTAAATACATTGCATAGCTATTATTTGATCATATATCTGTGGGACATTACCAAATTCAGTTTAGCAGAAGTGCATTTTTTTTCTCCATGTAGCCTACAGCTTTAGTTTAAGGTTGGCAGATTTCTGCAGCTGAATCTCCAGTTGAGCAGATATAAGAGGAAGAAAAGAAAGAAAGCAGGTTAAGATTTGCAACCATGGAACAACAACCTAATCTTGTTTCTTTATTCAGAAATAAGTCCCTCTCACCTACCGAGGCTTTCAAAAATTGTATTTGAAATTGCAGTGTCTTTCTGTGCCTTCTTTGCTTTTTAACCATCCTTTTCTTTCATATTTTTCCTTCTCTCTGTTATTGTACTGTCATTAATCCCTCTCCTAACTCAAAGCTGTGACTTCAGTTCCTTGTGTAACTGCTGCTTAACCAATAATTATGACAAGATTTAGAAACTAGTGCAAAGGGAGTTTATAAAGAGAAATAAATATGTGCAAAGGGAGTTTGTAAGGAGAAATAAAAAAGGAAAAGAAGAAAAACATAGTTTTCCTTTACCATGAGCTAAGAGAATCAATATGTGAGCTTTGTAAAGGAATATATTTGAATATTTGATGGAGTTGCAATTTATATATCACATGTAGTTTAGGATATTTGTTCCTTCATGCAGCCAGACTCAGTTTTTAGTAAAAGCAACATTGACTATCATGAATGTCTATAGTTTTCTTTTCAAAGGATAGTAGAGTATTCTTGTTATGAGGAAGATGTTTGGTATACTATTAAAGTATACCAAAGTATTTACCATAAAGTAAATACTTATCATAAAACATATTTATCATGTTTGTGATCAAGAAGGGAAAGAAGGTAGAAAGAATAGGTATTGTCTAGGATGGAAAACTGCTGAATAATTCTGTCACCTACCACCACCTTTCCAATAGCAGCTGATTAATCTTTCCTAAGTTAAAAAATGGAACTCAAATGCCATATTATTTTGTGTCCCTGATGGCCCTATTCTCTGTAAAGATTAAATTGGTTGTCAGGCAATTGGTGAGGTAACTGACAATGGACGGATCTTGTTGCTCTACCTTCAAATTGATCTCAAAAATATTGTGATGAAAATCCACATATCACACATACATGAGAAATAGTACACAGAACATGAAATACTTTTTAGAGGATATAAAATGTGAGAACTGGGTTGTGTGTATGATTTGGAATTATTGACAATTCTACTTTTGCCTCCTGCTACCCCTGCATCTATCTATTTTTCAGTCTGTCCTGTTAGCCAGATTTGCACTTGCTATCATTGTTGTAGAATGCTTATAATCTTATGTCAGTCAAGTGATTAATAGTCCTACATGCAAAATAATTGCTTCACAAGTTATTTTTCAAAATGACCTAAGCAAACTTAGTAATCATCATGAAGATTAAAATGTATCTGTAAGCCCACTTCCATATGTAGATATTAATATGAGATAAAAAGTATATATTATCTCAAAACTTTTACAATAGCTACCCTGTTTCTCCCAAAATAAGACATCCCCTGATAATAAGCCCAATCGGGCTTTTGAGCGCATGCACTAAAATAAGCCTCCCCCGAAAATAAGCCCTCCCTGAAAATATTTAAATCGCAGAGCTGGAAATCATATAAGACGGCAATTGGAGCCCATCTTGCTCCACGTGCCCCATAATAATAAGACCTCCCTGAAAATAAGGCCAAGCGCTTATTTCGGAGTTCAAAAAAATATAAGACAGGGTCTTATTTTCTGGAAAACACGGTATTTCAATCTACTTAACAGCTTAAAACTGCCAAATGCCATTACAAGAATTTGGCACATGACATCCCTAGAGGTTAAGCTTATTTTACTAGATTAAAGAAGAACAATAAGACATTAACCTTTGTTTTGTGAGAGATCCCACTGCTTTGTGATGGAAGACTCTGTCAAAATACTAAAATGCTTTCCATGCACTTTGCCTTTTGGACATGTTACTTGAAATGGCTGTCAGCTTTTCTAGAAATTCCGCCAAAGATGATTTTTAACTTAGAGCTTATTCTTTATTGCAAATGTTTAAATTAAATAGGCTGAAAAAGCTTTTTTAAATACATAGGCAATATACTGAAAAACAGATTTATCATGTAGCCAAAAAACAAAACAAAAACCAATCACTATCTTTGAATTTTTGGAAGATGTATCTGTCATGTCATAATGAAACTGGAAACGTTATAGACATGTAGAGAGTTCACAGAGATAGAAATCAATCTAGTCCTTTATCATTATCACCACATAACATCTTTTTATTTTTAGTTATTCATTAAATTGATATTCTGCTTTTCACTGAGGCGGTCAAGGCTGTCATGGCAAATGCTCCATCTTGCTATCTTTGTCCTTGGCCCAAAGTTATCCAGTGAAATTCTGTGGCTGAGTGTGCAGCAGAACCTGGATCTTCATGTTCTGAGTCCAATATCTGTACACAGTATGATACTCGGTCTCTCAATTAGTACTTAAAGTCTACTGAAGTGATAATGCAATCTTCAGCATTGCTTTTCTGCTTAAAAACAAATATTTTATAAGAAAACAATTTTGACAATAAGATCTGGGGGAGGGGTTTGTTATGTTTTTTTTAAAAAAAAAAAATAATAAAAATGGAAAAGCGTAATTGACTTTTAAAGTAATTTTAAAGGTAAATTATTTTGTGCATAAAAGATAAATTAAAAAAGAAAAGGATTAAGAAAAATAGAAAAAAGAGAAAGTTTCAAGAGCAAAACAGAGAAATAAAAACTGATTATGTAAAGACGGGAATCAGAAAAAAAAGCAACAGTTCCAACAGTTGTAAATAAACTAATTGATCTACTTCTCTCAAAAATTCCTTCAAACTCTTTATTCTTTTAAAATAATCAAACCCCGAAATTTTCATTTTACTTTTCTCCATTTTTAGCAAAAAATTCATAAAGGTTTTCTAGTCTTTTATAGAAGTACTTATTATTTTGTCCCTGATCAAAGGAATCATTTCCGCCATTTTTGCCATTTTCACACTCCATTCCTCTGTGATAGGTAGTAATAGCAATAGCACTTAGACTTGTTTACCTCTTCATAGTGCTTTACAGCCCTTTCTAAGCATTTTACAGAGTCAGCATATTGCCCCCAACAATCTGGGTATGTCAGTATTTCTCCATCATTGTGCAAATAATAAACTTGTTGCAGTCACTATATATATAAAATCAATCTTCCATAAATCTTTTCTAATTCGCTATCCATAAATCCTAATAAAAAAAGTTCTGGTTTTTCCCCCAATAGTAATCTTTAAAATTATTTGTATCCAAATGTATATATTGGTATTTTATGTCATTTTCACAAGTCCACCATGCATGTTTACTTCCTGCTTTTCACATTTCCAACGTTGATTTGAAGTATCTTTATATGTCTTTTATATTTCTTTTCTGGAGTCTTATATAAAGATACATCTTCTTCTTTGTATTATTCTCATCATACCATGGGATCTGCAGGTACATAAAATGATGTACATAAAAAGGTACATCCTTTTATAAAAATTATTTCTTAAACTATAGCATAATATGAATTTCATCCACATTCTCTCCCATTTAGCTGTCTGCATATTATAATGAAAATGAATTGCCCATTTTATCATGCAACCTTTAACCTCTTCCTCTTTCATTCAAATCTTAATGAGGCTTTATACATTTTACAGTCACATATTCATGATTCCTATATAATTCAGTTCAAATTTCATTTTATATTGCTCAATCCAGTAATATTTCATGTATATTAAATCTTTCTTTTAAATGTGCAGATGAAAACCTTTGAAAATTAATTCAATTGTTCTCATGGCATTATCTTGATTTTTCCATTTTCCTTACTGATAAATCTTGATATGTTAAGCAATACAATTTTTCCACTGTTTCTTTTCTATAAAATGCTTCCTATACTGAAAGCAATGAGGTATTTTTGGACATAGCCCTGATTTGCATTTATTCCGTATTATTAATATGGTACTTTCTACGTAATTTTTTTTTTTTACATCTACATTAATTTTAACTTTGCAAAGCCATAAAAACTAATGCCAACCAAATATCGGGTTATATTCTTCTAATTCTTATATTATTTAATTTCTCAGCAACACTCATTTTTTCATCCAAACCAAGCAGCAGGCTGAAAAATATAATTTAAAATCGGGCAATCCCAATACTCTTTTCTTCTGTATATTCAAGAATTTTATATTTAACCTTTTATTTTTTCCACTACCATATAAATTTGAACACATCTTTTTTCCACCACTTAAAACTGCATCGTTTTTCAAAAAAAGTATTTTTTAAAATAAAAACAACATTCTAGGAAATACTTTCACTTTCACTACATAAATTCTTCATAATTGTATTTTCCCATCTTAAAAAAAGTCTTTCATAATTTCATTCCGTACATTGATATAATTATTTTGAAATAATATACAATTCATATTAATTATGGTAAAACCCAAATATTTCACTTTTTTCTCTAACCAGTTTTTACCATCAACTCTTTTTGATATTCCATTTTTATATTTTTATAAAAGTTTTCCACTTCTCTTTGTTAACTTTAAATCCAGTTAATGCACCCAATTTTTTTAGCTGTTCCATTCATATATTTATTACTTTTAATTATTCTGAATTTAATTATTCTAAATTATCTGCAAATTTCTATACCAGTCTATAACCTTCATCCAAGCTACTTTTTCATATTGTTTTATGCATCTGAGCCGTGGTGGTGCAGTGGTTAGAATGCAGTATTTCAGGCTAATTCTGCTGACTACCAGTGGTTCAGTCTTCACCAACTCAGTGTTCACTCAGCCTTCCATCCTTCTGAGGTCGGGAAAATGAGGACCCAGATTGTTGGGGACAATATGCTAACTCTGTAAACTGCTTAGAATTGGCTGTAGAGCACTAAGTCTAAGTATTATTGCTATTGCTATCTGTTAAGAACTTAAAGAACTAAAATGAACACCAGTGGCAGAAATGGAGAGCCTTGAGTTGTCCTTTTTTGAATGCTACAGGATCTAGACGGTGGTAAACCAGTGGCACATGGAGCCATGTCGCCTGGTACACGTGGCATTGCCCATTTCTCTTCCGGGTTTCAGGTGCATATGCGTGCACAACAATCAGCTGGCCTTTTTGCATGTGGCAGTGCCGGAAACTGGAAGAGCTGGTCTTCTGTTTTCCTGCGTGAGCGTGAGTGCCAGCCAGCAGATCATCGCGCACATGCACACCAGAAACCCGTAAGACAGAAATTCATTTTTGGGCGTGCGCATGCGCCCTTGGCAGCTTCTCTTCCGGGTTGCAGCCCATACACGCGCCCTCCACTGGTCTAGATGGTCTAGACCATCACTGATCTAGACAGTTTGCCATTGACTGTAATTTGTGCTGTTTGTGTAGTATATATCGATCACACTCATTTAATAACACTTTCTGCAAATTTCATATTTTCCAAAATTAAATAGATAAGTCTAGTTCAAGTTGTCAAATGCTTTCCTCTCATCAGTAAAGATCAACACATCTTGTTTTTCATTGTGGTGTTCCAAAATATTCTAATATAATAAAATTATATGTTTGATATCTGTCAACTGTCTTTTAGGTAAGAAACTACATTGGTCATCATGTGTAAAATCCTGCAGAATAGTTTTCATCCTTTCGATTAAAATGATACTAAATATAATCTTTGTTCAATAATGATATTGGTCAGTCTTTTTTTTCCCCCCTTTGGTAAAGAAGTGGGTAATCGAAGATAACTGGCACACAACTGGAAAATGACAGTGCAGAAAGGGACACAGTGACAAATAACTTCAATATTATTGCCAGGAAAACTACATGATGTAACAATGTGTCATCAGGCATTTTGCTCAGGGGAGTCTGCTCCTTTATATTTACTTACAGAGACAATTTTGTACTTTCAGGATTTATAATTGTGTCATCAAAAATAATGTCCTTCCTATAATTAACATTATGGAATCATAGTAATGGAAAACATTTTGTCTACAATAGATTCTTTGCCCCAAAACGTTTTCTCTTAATTTACTATTTCTAGCTTATTTAGCAAGAAATAGTAGTGGAAGCTAAATTCATTCTTACTAGTGACATAGTACTAAGCAGTTCAACATGTAAACCAACAGAGAAAAGTGTGAAACTGAGATGGTAACTGCTTTTAAAATCATGCTTGAAATTGCTTCAGTGGCTTTAAAAAAAAACAGGGACATATTCCACAGCCTCAAGCAAATTTATTTATAGATTAATATCACTTCCAAGTAAATAGGCTCAGAAGCAAAGTATTTATTTCACTTCATGCAACTAAAGGCTTAGGTAATTTATGTCTAGCTCTAAGTTTTCTTTTTTTTTTTCTCTTTCTTTCTAACCAGACTGTACTTCGTCCTCTTCAAGCTCTTTGTGCTTTCCAGATCCAGCATGGTGCCCAAGTCCATCACAGCAAGGAGCATCTTCTTAAAAATGGTTTATATGACAAACCAATGCCAAAAAATAAACGCAAGCTCAGGAGAATGGAACTTTTAGTGAATAATGTTAAAATTTAGGGGTGTCATATAGATTTATTATTAAAGATTTTTATTCCTTTTAGCTAATGAAGTGGAGTTAATTATGGATTTGATCCAAATAAAAATATCCTAAAATGAAACACATTCACGTGGCTGCCTGCCCAGATTTCAAGACTGATACAAAGGCAAAATGCCTGGGAAGCTTTTCGAATATCTGCCTGAATTTTTCATGATAATGATGAAGCTGAAGCAAGAAGGAACATACGTTTTCTTAAGTGTTTCATTTTGACTTAAATTAAACCATAATTTGAATGTTTTTCTCTTAATTTCTTACTAAAGTGCAGATATGTAATATTAATATTGATATGGCAGGTGGATATTGGTACTGTAAGTCATAGAAATCCTAGTAGACACAAGAATCCGTAATTCCTGTTTTTTCAACAGTTAACAAACCTGTTTTGAAATAAGTGTATTTTGGGGCCTATATTTTTCTATTCATTAAAGCCTGGCAAAAAATAGACATTCCAATCTTAAAACAACAAGCAAACAAAGAGTATGAGATGCACTCCTCTTTCTATGACATTGCAAACAGACCATGGGATGAAAGCACAAATTTTTTTATGGCGATTACATTCTACTTTTTCTTGGTAGTATTGTTGTGTTTGTTTCAAAAGATTATATTTTTATATGAATAGTGCATTTTTATCCAATTTAAGAGCTATTGTAACATAAATTAAAGATTAAGAAGATGAAAAATAATGCCTTGAGTCAGTATTATATATCTATCCATGTAGTTTGTCTAGAAAGAAATGAAATCAATATACCTGAAATTATAAATTGCAAGCAAAAACTGCTAATTTTGACATAGAACTTTGCTATTGTATATAGACCTACACGAAACGTGGATAACTGGGAAGTTACAAGCAATCAGGCATTGTATGTATTGATGAGAATGGTACCATTTATTTTACCTTATTTCAGACTCAATACCACATACATTATTTTATCCTGACATTTGGCTTCATTATCATGAATGCTACTTTTTTTTTTTTTTTAGAATATTTAAATTTCTTAAAAGAACAGAAAAATTTGTACTTTAGAAGTGAGCCAACTAATAAGCATCTTGGTACATCAAAATTTTGTAAGTTCCAGCTAGTCAAAATTTTTCTTCAGACATGTGAGATGTAACCGCAAGCTCTCTCACAGTAGATGAATGATTGGCACCACTAATAAACCTCCAAGCAGTCTATTCACAAGGTTACGGAAGATATTCATTATAATTGCAGCAAATATTTATGTTATATTAAATATTTCTGCAGTTGAAACTCCAGGTTACCAATGTAATCCCCAGGTCATAGATGCTTCCACTGGCACCTGTCAAGTCCTAATTTTAACTGATTTTGATTTATACTTTTTAAAACTTAAATTAAATGCAAATATGGGCTGCTTCAAAGCACCAATTTTCAACTTCATTTTTATTTCGAAGAATATTGCTGGTTCCAATAAATGATAGGTAGGCATTGCAAGAAATTAAAAATTGCAATCCAGTGCTTGCAACTTTACCTATCTGTCCTGGGAGGGAAAAGCATGCTGAGTAATGGAAAGAATCTGTTGGAAAAAAGTAAGCATGGAATGGATGGTCTCATCAGTTTGTTGTCTGGTAGTTATGTTTTATAACAAACTATTTTTTTAAGAAAAATCACAGAATGTTTTCAGAAGTTGAAATGTATTTACTGCTCCCAAAATATTAGAAATTCTAACACTGTTGGGACTAACCAATAACATTGATCATACTTTTTAATATTTCAAAGATCAGTGATTTGCATGAATTTTGTCTGAAGGTTTTGGTTCATGTAGAAAAATATGAAGCATAAAAATAGTTAGACCAGCTGATCTTATTGAAGATATTGAATCTTTTAAATGCATTCTTAATAGTGTGTTTAACATACTACTAATACATGGAAGACAAGCTGTGATACTTTCTATATTGAGCTGCCACTAAAAGAAAATTCAGAATTTAAGTGAGTGGAGGTAAAATTATACCATTGATTTTATGATTTTCAGGTTGCATATTACACTTTGTTTTCAATCTTTTAAAGTCCAAAATAGTTTGTGGAAAAGTTCCTAATATTATCTCCATCTTGATAAATCATAATGTATGTCACTAAATTCCATTCAAGAAATCGTTTTTAAAAAGATATGGATATGGATATGGATATGGATATTTTAAGGAATGATTGTATGTTTTTAGGGATTTGGTGAAGAAGTTTATGTACAAGGGATCAGAAGAATCTTCTGCACTTGTCCTGTAATAAAACTGGTCTTGTGTGCCAGTCTGTCTTATTAAATCCCCGCTGTAGCAATGCCCAGTTCATATGAAGACAAGAATTAGAGTTCAAAGTATTAAACATCAAATTCAAATTGAAGTTCATCTAATAAGAACATATAATAATAATAGTCTCTTATTCTGCCAGAATTGTTTTGTCAGGAACATTTGAAAAGAGACTATTCTTCACCATGGATTCAGAGAGTCTCTTCTAATTTGTGGAAAATAATAATTATAAATAAATGCCTCTTGAATGATATATGTGGCTATGTGTTTTAAACAGAAGAAAATTATTGTCATTTCCTTGAACAAGAATGCTTGATTAAAGAGTTTAGGACACAAAATATGTTTGCAAATTTTTTTTGCAGGATAGCTGTTCTTAATGTTGTTGATTTCTACCTGAAAATATCTAATGCATTATTCAGAAAAGGCAGAAGCAAATGCTGAATGACCCAGGAATTCCAACGTGAAATTATGTTGGAACCAAAACAACTATGTAAAATGGATGATAAGAACTAATGCTCAGTTTTAAATTTTAATTGGTTTGGTCTCAAAAGAAAAGCGAAGGCATAGTTAGCGTACATTCTTAAAAAGCACTTTGGCATGCTACCTATTAGAGCTATTTTAAGTAACTTGCTCTAAAAAGGAATTCAGGGGAGCAAGTGGTAACTTGACATGAATAGAGAAGAACAAAGCAAATCTTTATAGAGTTAAGGGTGATTTCCATATTTGGCAGTCAGTGGTGGTGTTTAAGAAAAACCTCTTTACCTAATACTTGGACCAATTGCATCTTTATTTCTCTAAAGACATGGATTGGATGGTTCTGCTATGGGGAACAATCAAGCAAAAAAGAAATTTTGCTTAAGAAAGATTACCAGTCCAGTCTCTGGTATATCCAAGTAGGGTTGGGAGTTGGTATTTATTATCACTGAAATCTGGAATATAAGAAAAGAATGAAAATGTCAGTCTTGCCACATCACTGCCATATGTCCTGTTTGGAAAAGAATAAAGTGGCACTTAGCTAAAGAAAAATTTTCTGCTTAGTTCTTTTTAATGGTCTTTTAAAAATCCATCTAACAAAGACAACTTGATAGTTTCTGTTTTGAGAAACATATTTTTCATGTGCTTTTTAAAATTGAAAGTGTTACACATATTTTGAATTCCAACATATTTAATCACTACGTCCTTTTATACAGACACATACAGATACACACACAAATCGTTTATAAAAGCTTACATAAAATGGCAAGACATTTTTAAAATATACAATCCCAGGTAAACACGATACTAAACTAAAAAAAGTTGTTTATAACTTTTGGAGATTGCAACTAACTTTAGATACCATGTATTCAATAAACATGAATATTTTAAAGCTTTAAAAAAAATGAAAATATTCAACTGTTGTAAAATGTAATAAAATCTATATCAAAGGGAAATATGTTTCATCAGTTTTTATAATACTGTAGATAAAATTGCCTTTTTAAAAATAGAAATTACACATCTCTTTAATCTAAACCTTAATATCAAGAATAATGGTACATTTGTAATTTTTAAAAATAATTTTCTTAGCAATATCTCAAATCCAGTATAGCCACAATTCTTCAAAAATAGTCAGATTCTAATGTTTGGGACATAATTGAATATAACGTTAATTTCTTTAACAAAAAAAAAAAATCTCCTTAAATCTATTTATATAGCTCTATGTTAAAATAACTCAGAAACATGTCAATAACTTACAAGGTCAAATCATATGACAGTAACTCGTCCTCTCAAATGTTTTAGGGAGGCAAAATTCTGTTCACAACTAATCCTAATATCATTCATCATTGTGTCTGCTAAGAATGTATGTGTGAATGCGGAATCCTTAGCATTGCTGCAACTTCAATGGCTTGGCCTTCTAATGTTTGCTGATTGTTTCCCATTAGCTATTATATAATGCCTGTCAAAAGTTGGCATTAAAGAATTAAATGGGAGTTCAGGTCAAAGAAACTTATCTCTTTAGTTCATTAAAACATCTCGCCTGTATCAGCACAATGCTGGAAGTTTAATTAGAGTCATTAGAAACTCCAGTTCTCCTCAATCCAAAATTTAGAGACTATTTGTCTTACATTGTTCCTTACCTGCCAGTAAAATGTTTACAAGTCTTGCCCCATGTGAATAAGTCAGAGACTAAATGCAAGACACCTGCATATTTCCTGACAGTTTTAATATACTTTTAGATCTCCCTTATGAACCCAACTTGGAACTCTCCACACCAGTGTTGAATTTCAACATTGCTAACGCATTGTTTGGCTCTTCTTGCCAAAGGATTCTGTTAATCATAATTTGTAATAAATAAGACCTGTAGAAGATAGGATATTTTTTTTTTAAAAGTGAAGAATTTAAGTTTTTGCTTCCTTTAGATATTTTTTTCTATCCGTTCAATACTGGCATCATCTATTGACCATAGCAGGGGATGCTGATATTTACAGAGGAGCAATCACTTTTCCAACATGGCAAATACATCACAGCAGTCCAGAGTATTTGTAAAATTGAAGGCATAGCTGAGAAGCAAAGGTCTACTCTCTCCCGCCACATTTTAACTATTGAGAAATACTACTTCTGAAAGATTTAGGAAAACTGCTGTTCCTTTCATCGAGGGAGAGGACAAAATATAGACAGACTCTCTGCCTACTTTAAGATTTGGCAGATACATTTAAACACCTGAGATGTTGAAGCAAGTGAAGTTTTGTGGTAAAGAGTAATTGCTAAAGAAAAATAAATGCCACATTTTCTAGAACTCAGTGCTGGATACATAGCATGGTATTAGACACTAATACCAGCCAGGGGCCGTTTGTCTTTTTGCTGTCAAGGAATTCTAGTTTCTTATTTTGGCCTCTGAGGGTTGCAGGGTTGTGGCAGTACCTGAGAAAATGTTTGGGGAAGTTAAAATGCACTAATATATTGTAGCAAAATAATAAAATTTGGACTAGAAGATTTCCAAGGTCCCTTGCAAATCTATTATTCTGTTAAAATATTTAAATACTTTGCAAATTGTTTCCTACGTATTTGTACTATAAGCTATAATGGAATTACTGTTAATGAAACAATGGTTTGATTCACAAGCTGTGCAAGACCAGAAACAAGGCACATGATAACTATTTTCGTGTTTGAAACAAGCAAAGTTTTACTGTGAAAAACTCTGGAGAAAAATGAAAAGAAAGCAGGCTGAGTCTGAAGAGACCAAGTCTGCAATAGTAACTTTTTTAGCCTTTTACCATAATTTATAGCCCCATTAATTTGCAACCATGAAAAAAACCCATCTATGTTGTCACTAATAGTGGACACCAGCTTGATAGCACATAGTCAATTTTCAAGCTACATACTAGAGTTAAATAAAGACTCTAACCTCAAGCTGCTAATTAAAATGTAACAATCATTAAAATGTTTCCATACAGTTGGGCATGTCTTTTAAGTGTAATCTTTAATAAAATCTTAGATTGCTTTGATCCTATGTCACTTCATGTATATCTTAAAGAAACCTCTAAGGTATTTGATTTTAGGCCTATCAGATACCTGATAATAATAATTCAGCTTATTATTACAACCATCAAGTATATAGTATATATATAAGACACACATAGATATGATAATGTTAACAATATGTTTTGTCGCAATGGTCATGGTGTTTTTAAAAAGTCTTGTAAATATCACAATATATTTGAATAATTTGCTCTAATTTAATGTTTGTTTGTGTATTGTTTTTTTTGCTGAAGATGCAAAAGTAAACTACTACAGTAAATCAGGTGTTGATTTATCATTTCATTGTATTAAAATAATTATTTTGCCCATATGCATAACCTCCATAAATCTTAGTAAGTTCAAAATACCATAACTAAGCAAATATATGTACCTTTATCCAGCAACAGAGTGGATAAAAATCAATGATTTTTTTTAAAAAAATAAAAAAAATCGGATTTTTTTTATTTAAATCGGATTTTTTTATTTAAATCGGATTTTTTTTATTTTTATCGAATTTATTTTAATAAAAAACTTTGGGTAAAAATCTATCGTAAGATAGTTTTCTATTTAGGATACATAAATAATTTAGTTTATTCAGCATGAAATGGAGCTTAGTTATGTAGCATGAGGCGGTATATTCTGCAACACTGGGACTATCAGTGAGTCAACAGTGGGTCAAAGGAGTAGCAAAGATGACAGTTCCTCTTTAAAAATTATGATTTAAATCGAGTTGATTTAAATCACCCTTTTTACTAGTGATTTAAATCATGATTTAAATTGTGATTTCAATCAACTCGATTTAAATCAAATACACCCTGTCCAGCAATAAATGGTCTTAAGTTATGTTAATAATCCTGTAGCAATAATAGGACAAGTAAAGTGATATGGATCAACATTCCAATTCCTGATTGAAAGTAAGATTTTTTTAATACGATTGACTAATTTAAATGCATTTATACATTTATCTTAAATGTAAAAAGAAAAAAGGGAAATAAAAAAGTATAACATTTAAAAATAACCTATAAGTCATTTTTTATAATATAGTTCTAATTATTTTACTAAACAGAATGAATAAATATGGAATTAGGAGCTACAAATAAAATATGGAATGTTTTAGTTGTCTTTAGCTAAAACTAAATGCCGGTCAAGTTTTAACTAAAAAGTGAAGCAATAAAACAAAATCAACTTTGATAGGTATACAAAGGAAGCTATGTACGGTCTGCCAATTTGCAGACAAGGATTCAATAAAATATTGAAAATTTATCTCATAGGCCTGTGATAGCAAACTTATAGCACGCATGCCAGAGATGGCATGCAGCGCCCTCTCTAATGGCACGCGAGCCGTCACTCCAGTTCAGCTCCGCCCTGCATGTGTTCATGCCAATTGGTCTTTGGGTCTCTGCAGCGCATGTGGGGCACGCGCACATACATGGGGTGTATGCAGGGGCTGCCCGCATATGTGCAGGGGAGGGGAACATGGGGTGCACATGCATGCATGGGGGGTGCATGCAGGGGGCGCATGCATTGCATTTTGGGTTGTTCATTTCATAGTTTCTGTTGCACTGTTTCTTTTGCTAATGTTGAGATAATGTAGAATTTTTCTTAGCTAACATCCAAACAATGAAAAAAAACCAAGCCCTCTCTAAAAGCCAAAGACAAGTTAGTCAACTTTTTCATGTTCTAGTAATAGCAACAGGTAGCAATATAGAAAGAAATATTTGAATCCCTTTTATAATTCCATCTTGAGAAGTCTGAAAG